ACATGTGTGATCTTCCTGAGCTCGTTTCTCTTCCATTGCGCCCTGTGTTCATCCTCACGCCTGCACCACAGTCTCGGCTCCTGTAGCTTGAAGTAAGTTTTGCGGTTGGGCAATGTGAGTCCTCCAGCTTTATTTTTCTTATTCAAGATGTTTTTTGTGTTTGGGACCCCTTTCATTTCCATATGAATCTCAGGAGCCATCTGCCAATTTCTACAATGAAAGCAGCTGGGCTTTTAATGGGCATCACACTGAATCAGAAATCAACTCGGTGGCTATTGCTGCGACAGTATTAAGTTTTCAGCCCAGGAAAGACTTGCATTTCATTTCTTCTCTTTCAAACAATGTTTTCAGGTTCTTGACAAACAAGTTTTAACCCTCTTTTGCTGAGCTTACTCCTTTGAGTATCGCATTCTTTTTGTTATTATTTCAGTGCAATTGCAACTAGGGTTGTTTGTCTCCATTTCACTTTCAGATCGTGGGCTGCCAGTGTAGAGAAAGACAATTGATTGTTGCATATTGATCACACGTGGCGCAGCCTTGCAGAACCCGGTGTGTTCCACACCCTCACCTTAGCCTTGTTCTCTGTGAACAGTCTCCATCCATAGAGGTAGTTTTAACACCTTGGGAGGCATTCCTCCTCTGGGGCCTTGCCCTGCCCGCTCTGGTTTATCTGCAGGTAGGAGGTGGTGGGAAAGATGAAGAAGCCAGGGCCCACACCCCCTTGCGTTGTGTGGTACGAGCTGGGCACTCTGTCCCCCTAGGAGTGGGAACAGAGCATACCGCTCCTTTGGTGGCTTTTAATGGCTGAAGTAAGGGAATGAAGGAGCCAATGAGACCAGCCAGCAGCACCGCCCAGCTCCCCAGCCTGCACACAGGTTTCCTGCTATTTGAGCTGGAGTCTGCGTGGGTCAGGTCACATGGTGGGGGAAGGGGAGGCAGATGAGAGATGAAATAGAGGATAGCAGTTTCCCTCTCCCCCTTCCCCCCTCCCCCCATCCCAGCACCTTCAGACACCAGCTATGGTGGAAGGGCTGTGGAAACTGCTCAGAAAGACAGTGGGCTTTAGGGCCAGTTTTTTTCTTTTCTTTTTTTGCTTCATTGGACCAGAACTGGGTCTTGAATTCAGGGCCTTGTGCTCTCACTTGGCTTTTCTGCTCAAGGCTGGAGCTGTACCACTTTGACCCACAGCTCCACTTCCAACTTTTTGCTGCTTCATTGGAGAGAAATGTTGTGGACTTTCCTGCCTGGACTGGCTTTGGACCTCAGATCTCAGCCTCCTGAGTAGCTAGGATTACAGCTGTGAGCCACCAGTGCCCGGCCTGTTTTCTTACCTATCTTGTTGTTCTCCTGTTTGCCATGGCCTAAGCCATGTCTCGTCTGTGTGGCTTATATCTGTGGCCACCCCTCACATCTGTGGCACTGTCTCCTGGCCCTCTGCTGTCCTGTCACAACTGTCACCCCCTGCTAGGTTTCCAGGGTCCTGCTCCACATTCAGTAAGGCCACATCTTGTCCACACAGCCCTGTACGGAGCACAGAATGTGCTCGGGGGTCAGCGTCCACTGTGAAAGCCAGGTGGCAGATTGCATAGGGCTACAAAAACTGTGAAGGAATGCTTCCAGCAGCTTCCACCAGAAGTCTCAGCCGATTTACCCAGGTGTGCTGCACACGTGAGCCCCACGGACAAAGCCACCTGTCCACACTGCAGGACTCTCCATGTGCAGTGCGAGGCCCCTTCCATGCCCGCCTTCTCATGTGTGCTATAAGCAGATCCTGGTGTTCTGAGATTTTGAGTAAAATGCCATCCAATAGACACCTGCCTTAACTCATTGCGAAAAGAACCCAACTCAACTCTAGTGTGCATGGCCCCTGCTGACGAGCTAACCATAAATGGACCCAAGCCCCATAGACTTTCCTGCCCAGCCCAGAAGGGGAGACCGCTGGGAACCTTGCCGAGGGAGCCTGGTGATTACCATGGAGCGCCAGGCATGGGTGGCAAGGGGGCGAGGGGGGTAGAGGCTATAGCCGGCCAGAGGTGCTTACGTACCAACCCAAACTCAGGAGTTAGGACAGAGTTTAATGCTTGGCATTTCATAGATTTGAAGTGACTCCTGAGTTCTTCACCCCGCCCCGCAGGCAGCAGTGGGGGCTGGGAGGGCAGTGCACTTACAGAGGGACTTGGGGGAGAGGCTTCCTCTGCAGGTCCTGGGGCGAGGCAGCAGAGATGGGGGGGGTCGGGTGGCTATGGCATGCTTTAGGCTTTCAAGGAATCTGGGTCTCCAGGCAGGGCCTAGCTCAGTGGCCCTGGCACTGGGGTGATCCCCCGTGGAGTGGGAGTGGCCACAGCTGAGCTGAGGATCAAGGGAACATTCCAGAAGGCGCCTTCCAGGCTGAGTGGAAATTACTGGCGTATGCTGGGAACAGGGAGTGACTGGGTGTGGCCACAGTGAGTGGTGAACCCGAACAGGAGGCTGGTCCCTCGGTAGGACCAGCTCCCCACAGCCAGGGGCACCCCCACGGCACCCCGTCCTTGCCGTGTCTCCCAGCTGGCTCTGTGGGATGGGGACAGTATGTGGCCCACATGAGCGCGTGAAGGAGCCGCCATGTCTAACCTGGGACTTTGCCTTCAGGCCTTCTCCAGACTTGGGAGGAGCTGCCAGGCTGTGGCTGGCACTGGGCAGAGCAGGGCGGGACAGGGACGAGGAATGAGGGACAGTCCTGAGGTGGCTTCCTGGTTGTCTGTGCAGAGCTCGGCGGGAGGCCTGTCTGGGAGGAGGCCATGGCAGGGCTGTCATTTCTGGGAGCTGTGGGGGCCCTGTCTCACGCCCCGCCCCACCCTGTCCCGGCTGGAGGCTTTGGGGGGCCTCGGGGTATCTGTGGAGCTGGGGGGCTAGCTTGGCCAGGACTTCGTGAGTATTGAGAAAGGCCCCCACCAATACCAGGGCTGGTCCTGGGGCCTGGGCTGAGGGTCAGGCCCTGGGATCCTCCGATCCTTCCAGAAAGTTTTGACCATCTCAAGAGGCCAGAGGACCTCATGGGGCAGAAACTCAGCCCACACAGAGAGCCAAGTGTCAGCGTCTGAGAAACCTCACTGCCTGCCTGCTGTGAGCCAGCTCTGCTCACCGGGCCAACCCCATACCATGGGATGGGACTTGAACTTGTAAAAGGGCAATGGGGAAAGACCTTTCCTGGGACTGTTGTCACGAAGTGCCACCAACTAAGTCACTCAGACATCAGAACTGCTTGTCCCCAGTCCTGGAGTGACAGCAGCGAGGTATGGGCACGGCAGCGAGGTATAGGCACGGCTGGTAACCCCTGGGGACCCAGGAAGCCCCTGGCCCACGCCATGTGTACTGCCTCTGGTGGCCTCTGGCTGGCTGGCTTCTCCTTTAGGGTTATAAAGTCATGTTGTTCAGGACCCCCAGAAGCAACTTTCCCCTAGCCTGATTGCCTTCAGTGATCGTTTCTACATAATGTCACCTTCTCAGTTACTGGGTCACGACTGCAATACTGTGTGGTTGGGGAAGAAGGCCAGCCTACCACAAGGTCTCCCCGGGGCCGTTCATAAAAGCACCACCAAGAGCTCCAAGCCCAGGTGGGAGTGAGGGGGGCAAGGCCAGGGCCCCTAGACCTCATCCTTTGCCACTGGTGGGAGCTACCCTCTGGTCCTTAATCCGAGTCCCTGACAGCCGTGAGCTGGGTAGATCAGCCTTGTAGTGGGCTTGGGGATCCTGGGGTGCACTGCACACACCCCAGTAGCCCCTCTGATGTCTCGCACCTGCAAGTGTGGGAATGAGGCGCCATTGAAGTAGCCTCAGGAAGACGGTTCTCAGGATTTGCAATAGCTTCTGGGAAAAAAAAAAGGATGGGGGACATATTAGTAGAAGAAAGCTCAATTCCAATTTTTATGTACGATTTTATTTCAAATACAGACCTTCAAGGGCTTTATTGAGATAGTTCAGCCATATAAAGTCTGCAGTTCATTGGCTTTTTGTATACTTAACAAAGTTGTGCAACGCTCACCACAAACAACTGTAGGACGTTTTCATCACCTCAAAAGGAACCTTCATCACTCGTAGCTGGCATCCTCCAACCAGCCCACTGCATTTCTGTTGGAGCCTTGCCAGCCACGGGGCTGTGCCCACCCCTACCTCCTCCCACTTGCTTCCATTCAGTGGTGTGTATGGAGGGGGTGGGGCGGCAGGAGGCTATTTTGCTCTTTGACACAGGATCTCACTAGACCAAGCTGGCCTGGAACTCTCTATCTTCCCACCTCAGCCTCTCAAGGGTTGGGGTTACAGGTGTATGCTACCACACCCAGTTTCCAAAACTATATGTTTAAGTTAGGGGAAAAAAAGTGAAGAGCTGGGCACTGGTGGCTCACACCTATAATCCTAGCTACTCAGGAGGCTGAGCTCTGAGGATCATGGTTCAAAGCCAGCCCAGGCAGGAAAGTTGGTGAGACTTCTCTCCAATAAACCACCAGAAAACCGGAAATGGCTCAACTAGTGGAGTGGTCACTAGCCTTGAGCTGAAGACAGTGCCCGGGCCCAGAGTTCAAGCCCCATGACTGACCCCAAAAAAAAAAAAAGTGAAGAGACCAGACAGTATGACTGGTTCCAGTTAACAGCAGATGTATGGTTTTAATTTTCTTCTCTAATTTTTTTGTATTTTTCTATTATATAATGAGTAGAGATCGCTTCATAATCAGGGAGGGGGATTTTATTTTAAAAATAAAGACGGCTCATGTCACCCGCTCCTCCACAGCTCCCCCTCCCTAATTAAGTGGCTCCTCTTGGGCCTTAGTGAGTGATGGGCTGCTGCCTCATCCTTTGCTTCTTTAATGGCATTGGAGCCAGCCAGCCTTGGGCTGTGTGCGGCAGGAGGAAGACAGTTCCTTGCCCCGAGCTGGTGTGGACTTGGGGTACCTCAGATGTGAAAGGTGACCCCTGCTCTTGGCGATTATGTTACACAGTTTAAATACAGTTGCAAGGTCATCCAGCCACTGGAAACTATTGGAATGAGTGTCCACTGTTGGGGCAGGGCCACACCGGGGACCCAGCACCACCTGGTCAGCTTACCTAACAAGACACACAGGTCCTGGTCACTGTCCTAGACACCCCCCTTCCAGCAGTGGCCTTCTTACCTCCTGTGTCTCACAGCCCAGTCAACAGTATGTCCTCACTTCCATAGCTCCCGTGTGTGACCATGCTGCCTCCATCACGGGTTCTTCATGGCTATGGGAAATGCCTAACATGCCCGTGTGTATGTCCTGCCTGCCCCCAATGGGGCCCCTTGGCTTTCATGAAAGAATTCTTCCTCTTCTTTTAATAATTCCTCCTCCCTCCCTCCCTCCCTCCCTCCCTCCCTCCCTCCCTCCCTCCCTCCCTCCCTCATTCCCTCCTTTTCCTCTTCCTCTTCTTTCTTTTTCTTTTTCTTTTTTTTGCCAGTCCTGGGACTTGAACTCAGGGCCTGGGCACTGTCCTTGAGCCTTGTGCTCAACGCTAGCACTCTACCACTTGAGCCTTAGCACTACTTCTGGCTTTTTCTGTGTACGTGGTACAGAGGAATCAAACCCAGGGCTTTGTGCATGCAAGGCAAGCACTCTGCCACTAAGCCACATTCCCAGCCCTTCTGCTTTCTTCTCTCTTCATCTTCTTCATCTTTGTGCCGTTACTGGGGCTTGAACTCAGGACCTCGCAGCTTGGCTTTTTTGCCAAGGTTTATGAGTCCCCATTTGAGCCACATGTCCAATTCTGGCTTTCTGGTGGTTAATTGGAAATAAGAGTCTCTTATGTCTACCCTTTTCTCTTATGAGACCAAAAGCATTTTCCTTCTTGGCAGTCATCAACTTTTTCATCATGGATAACTTTGAACCACAATCCTCAGAACTCAGCTTCCTGAGTAGCAAAGATTATAGATGTGAGCCACTATTGCCCAGCTGCTTCGTGAAATTCTTAAGCCGATCTCAGAACCCTCAGATTGAAACACTTTGCTCTGGGCGTGAGCTTTGGCTCTCACCCGGCCACCCTGGCCAACTGCTCGCGAGGGCTGTGCTCCTGGCCAGTGGTCACGGCCGGGGTGCAGTGCCTGGCTAACACACAGACTCCCCCGAGGGTGCTGAGCCGGTGGGGTGGCACTACCGGCTCCACCCACTGTCTCCTCTTCCTGAGCCTGCAGACGGGTGGGAGGCGCCCACGAGGAGACCCGGGCTCGCTTTGCTGTGGGATTCACTCGCTACCTAATGACTTTTAAATTACCCCTTGACAAACGCTGAGTGCCTGGTTTTTCTTTTCTCTCTTGCAGATTGATGCACTAAGTAAAAGAAGCAAAGAGGCGGAGGCAGCCTTCCTCAACGTCTACAAGAGACTGATTGATGTTCCAGGTAAGCTGGGCTCTGGCCAGCCTGCTGCCAGGGCACCATGTCCCCTCTGGCTTCCATGAGCTGTCCAAGCCGCCCCCTCTCCCCTACCTGGAGCAGGGAAGAGGGGAGTGCCCACAGCCTTTGCAAATATGGAAAGCCAGCGCATCCGTTCAAGGATGCTCTGCAAATACAGAAACCCCGGTCTCTACAATACGGCGTGTGGCAGGGAGCCGCCTCCTGCTGCTGAGGCCGCCTGCAGGGTGCAGCCACCAGTGGAGCACCTGCAGTGCCTCACCCAGGAGCAATGGCCTTGGCACAGTCTTTCAGTTAAGGGTAAAAGCTGATAGCAAACTCTGCCAACGAGGAGACTGTCTCCATTCCTCTCCCACTGTGGTTGGATATTTGCCCTGATGAGCGATCCAGAGATCCTGCCCTGGGCTTGTGAAGGGGTCACAGTGGTGTTCCTTCCCTCTTGGGATCTGTTTTCTTATCTGTGAAGTAGAAGGTTTCTTTGCTCTAACTTTTTTGTCTCCTAAGGTGCTTATCCAGCTCTTGGTACTAAATTTTGGTCTTTTGATTTTTCCTTAAGAGTTTGTATGTGACTAGAGGTTTCCTGAACACTGAGGGAGGCTTCTCTAAGGTGAATGGATTCCGTTGTTTGGAGCTCAGGGTTCGTTGGTGCCTCTGGTAACAGCAGTTCGGTAGGTGGCGTTTGCCTTGTCTGATTTGCAAGGTAGTGTTTGGGAGCTTTCTCTCTGAACTGTGGCAGTCAGTCCACAGTGACTCAAGGCCTGGAGGATTCCTGGGAAAAGTGGAGCCTGGGCTTTGATCCCCAGAGTGTTTTCGTCTTCCAGAGCATTCATTCTTTCATGAGCCGGTTCTGTGGGTTCTGTTCTGGAAGGTTCTGCTCTGTGAAGAGTCACCGTCTTTCCTTGCCTGGGCTGGCTTTGAACCTCAATCCTCAGATCCCAACCTCCAGAGTAGCTAGGATTACAGGCGTGAGCCACTGGCACTCAGCATTACAGTTCCTTCTTAAAAGGTCAGGTTGGTCTAGGGCTCTCCCCTAGTGGCACTTCTTAGCTGACTAACCATTAGACAGGTTATTAGTTAAGTCTTCTAAGTCTTCTGTGTGTGTGTGTGTGTGTGTGTGTGTGTGTGTGTGTGTGTGTGTGTGTGTGTGTGTGTGTGTTGGTAATGGGACTTGAACTCAGGGCCTCAGTGCTGTCTGTAAGCTTTTTTTTTTTCCCCCTTTCTGCTCAAGGCTAGCACTCTATCACTTGGAGACACGGCTCCACTCCCAGGTTTTAGTTGGTTAATTGGAAATAAGAGTCTTATGGCCTTTCCTGCTCCAGCTGGCTTCAAACCATGATCTTCAGATCCTAGCCTCCTGAGTAGGCTTGCAGGCATGAGCCACTGCACCTGGCTTCTCCAATTTTTTTCTGTCTTAATTCCCACAGATCCCACAGAGGTAGTTTTATTGCCATCCATATCCCTCTGCACCCGTGCATACACGTCATTTTATAGAATTTTGATCCTGATTCGGGTATTTATTTATATCTGCCTTTTTGTCATATGAAACCAAAAATGTATTTACCTTCATAATTATCATTTGGGACTAGGACATCCAAAATCACTGTTTAACTAAGATGGTAGTAATACCAAAGTCGAGAAGAATGCACCTCAGCCCTTGCTGCCTGCCCCGCGTCTCCTACCAGTGTTTCTGCTGGCTAGGTGTGTGCAGGTACTCGAGCCGCAGCTGTGGCTGGAGCACTCTACCTGTGTTTGGGAGTCTGACAGTGGTCCAGATGAGGTAATCTTGTGGCCAGACTTACAGGAAGGGCCTGGTCAATAGCTGCACATTTACCAACCACCCCTGGCTGGGCAGGGCCAACTGGCGTCCCTGTCTGCGGGCCTCAGGCTCCAGAAGCACTCTGGTGTGTTGGGCTCTGGTTGAATAGTAACTGCTCACGTGATCTTGTAGCCCAAGGAAGCCTGCTGGTCCACCTGACTCCAATCAGGAGCCTGGTGGGGAGCAGGACTCAGAAGGGGAGCCTACGAGGGGCTATGCCCGCCCACCTCACCTGTCTGGGAAGCTGCTGGCCTTCTTTGTTTGTTACACTAGAAATCTAACCCCAGGCCTTGTGCTTGCTATGCAAGCACTCTACTACTTGACCCACACTCCCTGACCTTGTGTTTATATTTTGTCTTTGAGATAGGTTCTTGCCAACTTTGCCCAGACTAGATTCAGAATTGAGATCCCCTTCCACCCCTCCTGTACTTCCCGGGATGAAAGGTGTGTGCCACCATGCCCGGTTTTGTTTTCTTTTTTCTTTTTTGGGGGGGTCCGGTCGTGGGGCCTGAACTCTGGGCCTGGGTGCTGTCCCTCAGCTCTTCAGCTCAAGGCTAGCACTCTACCACTTGAGCCACAGCACCGCTTCCGGCTTTTTTCTTTTTGCTTATTTGGTGCTGAGGAATCGAACCCAGGGCCTCAGGCATGCAAGGCAAGCGCTCTACCACTGAGCCACCTTCTCAGCCCTGTTTTCTTTTTTCTTGGCTATTGGTCCCCCTGGATAGACTTCCTCAAGGGCAGAGCCTTGCCCTGTGCTCGGAGCCTGGCACACACATGCCAGGCCTCCTGCAGTTAGCCTGGGTATCCAGGATTGCCTCCCGGGCTCCCTTGGGGGGACCCGTGGGAACCTGCTTCTGCCGGTTTGCCTTCTTCCTGCATCCTTGCCTTAGTCAGTGGCCTGCTGGAGCACCAGTGGCCTATGCTGGGACAGAGGTCACACTGCCCATTTGCTCCAGAACATTTTGGATTTCACTTACTCTGCCCGGCTCCTGCAGCTACCCTGCAGCTCTGCTCCAGACACAGGCCCAGGCTGGCTTCCCTCTCTCTGGCCTTCTCCTTGCTCTCCTGCTCCCTGTGCAGCCCAGGCTGGCCTTGAGCCTCTGATCTCCTGCCTCAAATGCTGGGATTACAAATGGATGCCACCACACCTGCTCTCCCTCTGTGACGACTCGTTATAGGTTGGCTAATGGCATTCTGATTGGCAGGTAGCCGCACAGGTGACAGTGGTCCCAGGTGTGTGGCTTACCCAGGGATGTCACCATGGTCTTCACATGAGTGCATTCTGTGGCACATGCAGAGTCCAAAGCCCCATGTGGCCCAGTGTGGCCCAGCTGTGTTTCCCCTAGCTTGGCAGAGACAGAGACAGTGCAGTCTCCTCCTTCATGGTTTCCCTAGGATCACCCAGTCAGCAGGAGTGCCATGGAGATTTGCCAAATGACAGCATAAATGAGTGGATCAAAGCATGTCTTCAACAGGTGGTCTGAGTTAGACCTCAGGTGTTCATTGTTCGCAGGAAACCATGATCCCCAGGTTGGCCCCTCCCACGGAGGACAAGCATCCTGGGCCTAGGAGCTATAGACAGCTTGTCAGCTGCAAGGATGCATGCGCAGTGGTAGCTCTCTGAACTCCCGTTCTGACTTGGTGTCATCTAGAGATTCCCGTGGTTGCACGGTCTTCCTGTGGCACTCGGCGTCTGGGCCTTGTCCCTCCCGAGGACCTGCTCCAGACAGATGGGATTGTGACCAGCTATGCGTGCTTGGTCCAACAGCTGTCAGGCTGGCATCTGGGTGAGGGCTCTCCCCGTCCTCCAGGCTGTCCCCCTCCGGCCTCTCACATTGCACTTGTGCGCCCTACTCCTCCTCACTCACCCAGATCCAGGGGCAGTCTTTCAGAACTCCTCCGTGTGAAAGATCAGACCAGATACTCAAACACATGGTAGTGAAGATAGCCCCCATGCACCGTGCGCACCGCTAGCCTGCGGCACACTCTTCATTCCTCAGTCAATTTGGAGAGCATTTCAGAGCCACTATCAGAAATGCCCTGCATCAACCCAGCCCTGCTCTTTTCCCAAACCTCATGCTCCTTACCTCTTATCGCTGGGGGTGCCTGAGGAACCCCCTTCTCCCACTGCTGCTGTGTGTTGAGAACAGACCCTGCCTCCTCACACTTTCCCTGGGCCAGCCTTCTGAGATCCTCCTATCTCCACCTCCCACATGGCAGGGATTACAGGTATACGCTACCATGCCTGAACCTTGTCTTGGGTTTTAAGCAGGGACATGGCATGACCAGATCTGTGGATCAAAAGGGTCATCCTGAATACAGGTTAGACAAGGGACTAAAAAGGGGTCCAAGGTGGGGGGGCGGGAAGAAATAGGACACTTGGTTTGGGGCAGTTGAATTCTATTTAGGAGGAAGGATAGACTCAGTTGGCACGAAGAGGTGAAGGACTTTAAGAGATAGGCCAGATCTGCCTGGGCTCAGCTAAGTCTGCTCTTTTCTCGAGTATTTGCTCACTAGGCTTCATTTGATTTAAACACTAAAAAGAAGCCCAATGGAAATGTGGGGAAATGCCTAATTCTGCCCCTCCCTCGTGGAAGATGATGTGAGGATTCACAAGGAAACCATTCTACCTCCAGGTTTGGATGGCATCGCTGTCCACTTCACACTGGCAGTGTCCACCACCTGGTCCAGGTGCGGTTCGTGGGGCCACACTGGTGCTGACATGCCCCACACTCCCCCGCAGCCCCAGATCTGCACATCCCAAGGACAGCCCAGGACTCAGCCGGCCTCCTCCTGCCCCTCACATCCAGCAGTCCCACACCCCACGTCACCGTCTGTCCTGCAACACAGCCCTCTGGAGAGCTGCAACTGCTCCAGGACTTCTGGCCCCTGGGAGCTGCCATTCTCCTGGGCTCAGAGCAAAGTTAGGGTGGAATGCATAATCTGCCAGCCATTAACCTCTCTGGGTGACTCCTCTCTTCTTGTTCTCAGAGTTTTGACAATGGGGATGTGTTTATTTCCCCAGCAGGGAGGGGACAGCGTAAACCAATACAGTAATCATCTTGTGATCTAAGTTTCTGAATGGCTCTTATTAGTGCATGGCAGGTACCAGCTGAGTCACTTGACTATTTGCAAGAGACATAGATGTGTGTAAGACAGGACTGTGATATCTCTGTCCCAGAAACATCTCAGTAACAGTAGGGTTTTGTTTGGGGGGCAGGGATGAGTGGGTTGGGTGTGTGCCAGTACTGGTGCTTGAACTCAGGGCCTGGATACTGTCCCTTTGCTTTTTGCTTAAGGCTGGTGCTCTGCCACTTGAACCACAGTTCTACTTTCAGCTTTTGGGCATCACGGAGATAAAAGTCTCCTAGACTTCCCTAACCAGGCTGGCTTTGAACCTGGATCTTTAGATCTCAGCCTCTTGAGTAGCTGGGATTACAGGCATGAGCCACCAGCATCTAACAAGTCTTTCTCTTTTTTTTGGGGGGGAGGGGAGGTTGGTTAAGGGGCTTGAACTTAGGGCCTGGACACTGTCCCTGAGCTCTTTGTTCCAAGGCTAGCGCTCTACCACTTTGAGTCACAGTGCCACTTCCTGTTTTTTGTGGTTAATTGGAGATTAGAGTCTCACGGACTTTTCCTGCCTGGGCTGGCTTCAAATTGCGATCCTCAGATCTCAGCCTTCTGAGTAGCTAGGATTACAGGTGCCCGGTTGCAGCAATCACTTTTAAGGAACGAGTTCTTAGGAGAAAAGGACAGTTGGCAGCACCACTGCCTTGGGTTGCTGCCACACAGCTTGCTGTCTCTCGGATCGTGGGAAGAATTTTGGCTGCATGTGGCTGTGTGATTCCTGTGTGAGAATCCTGTTTGACTCCTGGCTCCCGTGCACTTTGCCTCCTCTAGACGCGAACCTTCACAGCCTAAAGCCATGCTGGAAGTGTGTGCTTTAAGTCTGATGTCTTAAGGAACGTTTTACTGCTGATGTGAAATGGTCACTAACTAAGGGAATATGGAGCTCCAACCCATGGTGTCACGACCGACTGTCGCCTGATTTCCATGGGACACGGGCCCATGGACATCCACGCCACAGGCCAGACTGGCTAGCAGAGCCCCTGGTAGGCCATTGTGTTTCCAGAACTCCAAGGCCTGGTTCAGGTTCAGAAAGCCCCTTCCCCTGGGGAGAGTCCCATCCTGGGAGCGCAGGAGGAGAGGGGGCTCTCGTCTTTTGGAGAAGTCCGTTTTAAGGGCGCCGTGAGAGTAGATCAGCACTCCAGTCCCCTGCCTGTTACTTTCTGGCAGGGGCTCACCACGAGCTAGAATTAGAAAACGCTGTCCTCTCGCTCTTCCTCTTCCCTGTCTGCCCCTGCTCGGCCTCCCGTTCAGAACCTTCCAGTTCAGTTACAAAGCATGCTCCAGAACTGTGGGAATGTGTCTGCTCCAGCCTGGTCGCAGGGCACTCCAGTCCATGTGTTCCAGGTCTCCTGGTGTTGGCATGCCAGACCCGGTGCCCCTGGGCCTCCAGGGAGTCCTGTGTGACTGCAGTGGCCGAGCAGGCGCCCGCACACACGCCCAATATGCCAATATGCCCTCGTACGGTGTTTGCATTTAGTGTTAAGGATCAACCCAGACACTGAAACAGGGCACAAAGGGGACCAGGGCTGCGCCCCAAAGCAAAGGCCAGTGCATTGCACACAGATGCGCAGCTGCCTCTGCCTCTGCCTCCCTGGGGCTTCTGGGCCTGGAGCAGATCCCCAGGTCTCAGGGAACAAGGGACAGTCCTGAGTGGCAGCTACTCCCTGCCTGGCCTCCCAGGGAATCCGAGACCAGGCGGTTTCTCCACCTGCCCTGACCAGATTAGCCAGCAGCCCCAGAACTGGTGGGGTGCACAGTTTGCTAGCTGTTACTGTGGAAGAATGCAGTATCTGTGTCCCTGCCACCAGCTTCCCCCTGCAGCCTGTCTCAGGCCTTCCCTGGGGCCCCCCTGCGCCAGGCCACAGATGACGGTGCTGGGAGTGGAACTCCGGGTGACTCGGGGAACTCTCCCCGGGGTGCGTGGTCCCCATGCCACCATGGCTGGGGTGGTCCTGGCACTGGGTATCCAGGCAGCCCTTCATCAGTCGCTCATCACCATGCTAATTGCTGTATGACTAATTATGCCCTGAATTCCAGTTGATTTTCTTAATGAGACAGCTGGGTTAATTATGTAATCGTATGATTACATTAGCCTAGAGTGCCCAGGCTAAAAGTAGCGTCTGGCGCACTGTGATGTCATGGCCGGGGCCGTCCGCACAAGGGGCACATTCATCGGCGGGCTGGTGGCACTGCAAGCTCTGCCAACACGGGCCTTGGGTTTGTTAAGATGGGGCCTCTGGGCCCACTCGATGTGAAGTCAGGCTGGTCCCCACAGGGTCGCCTGCCACCATCTCCAGCCTCCCCCAGCTTAGCATAGCCTCAGCCAGAGCAGAGCCACGCTGTGCCCACCCTGCCAGGCCCCTCTGCCCGCCCCTCTTGCACTTCATGGGGCATGCCAGCTTCCTAGGATCCGGCCAGGGGACCCCAGGCCAGACACTGGTGCCAGAGAGTCCCAGAGGACCAAGTGCCTAGGTTGACAAGAGCGTGCAGTCACATGCCCACCCCACATCTGCCCCTGCCACCAGGGGTGCCCACAGAGGTCCAGTCCCTAGTGGATCCCTACAGGGGTCGTTTGCAGACCCTCGTCGCTGCCAGACCCCCTTCTCAGCTCCTGGTGTGCATATGCAACTCTGCCAGTGAGACTTCTAAAACTCCCACGAGCTCAGGACCACCAGAGTGCACACACACACACACACACACACACACCACCTCTACCCTCCAGGACTGTGCGTGATGTCACCACACATGCAGGGCATCTTGGCCACCCTCACAGCTGTCAGTCTTCTCATGCTCTTCACACCTGAGGGGTCCTCTGTCAGTGAGTCCTTGTCACCCAGCCCTTCGCACTGGCACAGCCACTGCCTTGCCCGGCCCACCCCCTCCCCACCCCACCCCACCCCGCACCCTCCTAGCGCCCCACCGGCCCAGAGCACTGTCCATACCAGCGATTACCCGCTGCCCCAGGCCATGGCGCCCAGGGGAAAGAGCTATGGGCTTCCAGTCCCAGTGTGTATCTATATGATGCACATGTGTAATTATAGTTGTAAACTAAGTTCTATATCAATCTAAAAACAGATGAAGGAGGCTGAGAAAGATTAATAAGGAATTAGAATATTTTATTAACAGCACAGAAATTTATTTGCTCTCTTTGGAAAAAAATACATACACGTATGCTCGTGATTTTGAGGTGCTGGGCAAGTGTGTGTCTGATCCCTCTGAGCCTCACCTCCACCCCCAAATTATATGTTAAATTCACATTATTGAGGGGTCACGCCCACATTGAATATAGTGTTTGATAAGGTGAAGATGGGAGAATGGGGTCACCTTTCGCGGTCCCTGGTGACCCCAAGCCCTGGCACCAGTGACCTTTCTGCAGTGGGGGTGGGATTTGCTTGTTCTGTGTGCTATGCACAGGGGTTGGCCTAGTGGCAGACCTCCCTGACCCAGTGAGACGCCGCTGAGCCTACTGACCAGCCTGGCTTTGCCACTTGGCACCAGAGTTGTGTCTGTTTTCCTTCTGATCACCTGGCCTGCCCGGATCCCTCCCTGGCACCCCATGAGCCTTGGTGCGATTGTGAAGTCAAGGGCATCATGGGGCTATGGGAGGATGTCACTCTCCCCCCGTGGTGTCCGGATACCCTTCCCTGCATGGAGAGGGCCACCCCAGCCATGTTTGCTGGACACAGATTTCTTTGGTTTGGGGTCATTGTGGAGGAAGCACCACAAGCCTTTGTGGGCTGTTATTGTGTGGACATGGCCTGCTGTCCACAGGCACCTGAGACTGGGATTTTCTCTAGGGTGTCCACACATGAGGCTGGTAAGAAATACCACACCATCACATCATTTCACAAAGTCCTTTTGCCATTACATCCTTCTGCAAGGAACAGGAGCAGTCCAGTTGGTCCATGTCCCCGACACCGACTGGCACTGCCAAGTTTTAGGAGTCCTCGTGACTGTGCGTGTCTTCCCTGTGGTTTGAGCTTAGGTTTCCTGATCATCAGTTCTGCTAGGTAGTTAGTGCTTCATGTATCTAAAGCCTTCTGCTGGATCTTAGAATGTGAGACAGGGTCTCAGGCAGAAAAGTCTTGAGACTCCAAGAAACTATCAAACCAGACTGGAGGTGTGCATGGCTCAAGCGGTAGAGCATCAGCCACAAGCAAGATTTTTTTCATTTTGAACGTCTGTAGAATTTTTGGTGGGTTCCTACTCCATGTTCTGATCTTGGGGTTTTTTGTTTTTTTGTTTTTTTGTTTTTTGTCAACTGGGGGGCTTGAACTCTGGGCCTGGGCACTGTCCCTCAGCTCTTCAGCTCAAGGCTAGTGCTCTACCACTTTGAGCCACAGCGCCACTTCCAGTTTTCTGGTGGTTCATTGGAGATAAGAGTCTCACAGGCTTTCTTGACTGGGCTGGCTTTGAACCGTGATCTTCAGATCTCAGCCTCCTGAGTAGCTAGGATTACAGGTGTGAGCCACCAGCACCCAACTAGGACATTTTTTTATTCTTTGCTGGTCAAAGAATGTGCTTTGTATGACTTTGGTTCTGTGAAATTTCCCGAGTCTCATATTAGTTCTGTGTGTTTGGCCCACAGGCAGGGCACAGGCACAGGCCTGGGACGTTGGCCTGGGTGCTTCCTCATGCTCTCCCAGTCTCTTGCTATCTTAATGTTAGGTTTTTATACCTCATTGTGCTAGTGATTACCAAAAAGGGAGTTTAGAATCTTAACAGCTGTGCCTGGCTTCTGCCTTTGAACTAGAATGTTAGCTCGTTTACATTTAGTGTAATTGTGGATAGTGTTCTAGTGAAGTCAGCGTTGGACTCTGTAAAGTCTCTTGCCTCAATTTCTGTTTGTCTTGAGTTTTTTGTTGTGTTGATTATATTTTTCCTACTTTCTTTTCACTGAATTATTTTTTTTTGGAGGGGGTAGGGGCCAGTCATGGGCTTTGCTGAAGGCTAGTGCCCTAACACTTTGAGCCACAGCGCCACTTCTGGTTTTCTAGTGGTTCCTTGGAGATAAGGCTTTCCTGTTGCGCTGGCTTTGAACTATGATCCTCACATCTCAGCCGCCTGAGTAGCTAGGATGACAGGCGTGAGTCAGTGGCACCCATCTACAGTATCGAGTACTTTTTTATTTTATCTAATCTTCTCCCTGTCTGTGTTTGGCTTCTGTGGTTTCCTCTGGGTGGGAAGCAGGCATGTCTATAGTGTCATGCCAGTTTTCTGTGAACGCTGGGTTATGGCAGCTTCTGTCAGATGTTACCTCTCACGGCCACACACCTGTCACCTGTCAGTATCTGCTGCCACTTAGGCTTCAGAGAACCCCCCCCCCCATCCATTAAGGAAAGGAAAACTGGGGCAACTGTGTCTTTTTACCCCTTGGTTCCCAATTTCCGGTCTCCACCCCATCCATGGATTTCCTGAGCACTTTGTGTCGTGGGCACCAGAAGTGAATCCCATTAGCTTTTGATTTGGGCTTTGTTGGGTATGAAATTACCAGTGGATTTTTTGGGGTGGGAATGAGGGAATTGATTTTTCTGTGCCAGGACTAATTTTGGCGAGGACACCTGGTCTCTCCTACCTTTATAAACTTTTTTGCTTGGCCATTTCTGATTTTATATTCTTATTCTTGTTCTTAGCCATTTGGTTTTGCTTCTTGGTTCAGTCTTTCTGCGTTTTTATTCAGACTGTTTCTATGACTGTCTTTGAATTCACTGACCTTTAAATCTGCAGTGTATCTTCTGTCAGTAGGCCAATTTGCTATTTTTTTTTTTCATTTCAGATATTGCATTTTAAGCTGTAGAATTCATTCGATTCTTCATTTGCCAAATCCTCCCCTTATTACAAGTGTGTAGACTTTTATTTAAATCATTGAGCAAGCTTTAACACTGTCTTAAGTGTTTTTTGTTGGTTTTTGTTTCTTGGCTGATACCGGGGCTTGAACTCTCACTCATTTAGCTCATTTGCTCACAGCTGGCAATCTACAACTTGAATCACACATCATGCCCTGCCTTTTGGTGGTTATTTTGGAGATGGAATTTGCCTGAATTTTTCTGAGTTGACCTTTAGTCATCTATCATCCTCCAGATCTCAGCCTCCTAAGTAACTAGGATCACAGGTGTGAGCCACCAATGCCTGGCTTATACTTTCATTTATATTGACTGACCCACACCTATTTCCCGCTTCCAGCATAAAACTTTGTGAATGTTAGCATCTGGATTTTGTTGTTTCTTGAGTTTGTTCAGGTAGATGGTTAATTATTGGCGACAGCATGATGATTCCAAGGTTTGTTTGTACCCCCCGCCTTGCCCCCCATTTGGGGCAGAAACAAGCCTCTTGCTTGTTGGCAGATGCTCTTCCACTTGAGCCATGACCCCTGCTTTAGTTACTCTTTTTAGTAGCATTCTGCCCCTGTCGTCCAGGCTAGCCTGGACTGGAGTCCTGCTGCTCCTGCTCCCCGCTTCTTTGAGGCTGACTCCTGATGGTGTGGCCTGGGGTTCCCCCGGAGCCTCTCCCCAAGCAGAATGTTGTTCAGTAAATCAGCACTTGAACAGTCAATGTCATTGAGTTGGCTGCCTTTTGGGAAGGCTCACTCTTCATTATGGTTTTGCATACCTGTTTGCATGGCTGGCTCCTGACACGCAACGTGCCCTCCCGCCTCCACGGGGTATCTGGAATTAATGAGATCGTGCCCTGTGGCCTTAGCAAAGATACTAAAGAAATGCAGGTGATGCTATTTGTTGTTGGTGGTAATTATCATCTTTGAGTCTTGTGTCACACCTCAGAGTATGTCTCAAGACTAAACTGTGAAGTGATCATAAAACATTGCCGATTTACCACATGGGACTGGAGGAGGCTGGGAGGGGGTTCTGGACTTTGGGTGCGCCTCTTGGACACCTGGCTGTGTTCTGTGATGCCTCTTCCCTGATTGGAGGTTCTGCACGCTGTCTGACCTGACAGTGCTTGAGTGGGGCCTAAATAGGGCTAGAAATCATTAATGGGACTGAGAAAGAGCTGTGACTTTCCCCAGATCCACAGGCAGGCTGGATCTGGAACACCGAAATTCATTGTTTTGGTCTCTGGCCCAAACATGCTAGAGCCATTACATCGCCATGTGGTAATTAGCTGTTCCTTTAATACACGTAATAAAAAATTAAGCCTAAGAGATGCTTTAGCAAGGCCTTTTTCATATCCCAAAACAATACTCAAACGCACTGGGCCTTCAGTCCCCCAGCCGCGCAGAGACCAAATCACAGGCAGAGCTCGCGGGCATGTTTGAATGCTCAGCTCCTCATGCTGGGACCAGATTTGCTGCTTTGGCATTAACCTTTAATTGTGTTAAATTAAATATAGACGCCATAATGAATAATGAGGAGATTGCCAGAATTTTCACTTAGAGAATGGTGCTCTGGCAATTTGATCATTTGTGCGTTACTTCCACGTGTCATTGGTTCCATACAGAATCAAGGGAGGGAAGCTGTGGTTTTCTCCCAAAGCAGACCTAGTGGGTCCTAGCTAGACGTTGGTGCCTTCTGCCTGTAATCCCAGCTACTCAGGAGGCTGACACCTGGGATAAGAGGAGCTGATGAGCCATTTGCTCATTTCTTTGCAGCCATTTGCCTGGCATGAAGCTGTGAAGGGAGAAAAGGACAGAAAGTTTCCTAAGAAGATAGTGTGTGTGTGTGTGTGTGTGTGTGTGTGTGTGTGTGTGTGTGTGTGTGTGTGTGTGTGTGTGTGTGTGTGTGTGTGTGTGTGTGTTTGTGTGTGTGCGCATGCGCACGCGTGCCAGTCCTGGGGCTCAAACTCAGGGCCTAAGTGCTATCCTTGAGCTTTGTGCTCAAGGATGGCCCTCTGCCACTTAAGCCACAGTGCCACTTCTGGCTTTTTGATGATTCATGGAAAATAAAAGTCTCATGGACTTTTTTACCTTGGCTGGCTTTGAACCAGGATCCTCAGATCTCCAACTTGTGACTAGCTACGATGACAGGCTTAAACCACTGGTGCCAGTGGGAAGACAGTGAAATTTACTTAAAAGGAGGAGGAAGGCAAACACTGCACCTTGTTCTCAGAAATCTGTCTTTTTGTTATTACCACTCACAGTTTAGAAGAACAATCTCCCCCAAAATAGCTTCTAAAATCAACTTGAACATAAATATTTGAGTACTGATTCAAATCACCCTGAAAAGCCAGGAATGAGAAAGAGAAACCGTCAGTGGCTGTGGACGCAGGTGGAGATGGGGGCTAGCAGTGGGGGCTCGGCTGATGGACTGGGTGGGTGCTGGTGGTGACGCTCCGGGCTGGGGCTGCGGCTGCAGCTCCAGCATGGGTCCCACCCAGGTCCTGGGGCCGCCTCTTATAAACTCTGCACAGACAGCGCCATGTCTAACAATCTCCTGGCTCCTGGTGGACACGCCTGCCGAGCCACTGTAGCCCCGTTCCTCCCTTGCTTCCAGGAACCTAGGGTGGTCTGAAAAATTAATGACTCTAGCATGGGAAGATGGAAGAGCGCACTTGAATATAAACCCGTGTTGATGCTCTGCGTGGTGTTTCACATTCCCCGACAGCAGACAAACTCTGTGTCCATCTCCCAAGTGAGGCTGGCGCCTGGCTGGAAACACACTCAGTGGCCCTGCTCAGCCCGTGCGCTCTCCTCTCACAGAGCCCAGCAGGTGGACTGTCACCGCCTTGCAGGCTGCAGGAGGAAAGAGGAAGGTCCAGCTGAGGCAGAGGGATATTTTATGTCTGTCTGCCTTTTTCTGGGAAGCCCCTGCCACGTGTGCAGTTGCCATGAGTTCAAATCCAGTGTTAAAAGGCCAGGCATGGTAGCACAGCCTGTTATCACAGCTGTTTGGGAAACAGGAGTGGGAGGACCACAATCTAAGAGGCTATCTAAACACAAAATAAAGAAAAATGAGAAAGGAGCTGAAGGTGTGGTTTAAGTGGAATAGTGCCTGCCTGATGAGCTCAGGGCCCTGAGTTCAAAGCCCAGAACCACCAGACCTGCTCCAGTGCTAAGCAGGGAAATCTCACAGACGTGTTAACGTGGGTATGTGTCCTGTTCCATTGGCCTCGGCCTCTCAGGCCTGTCTCTGATGTCCTTCTGCTCTCGGTGTTGTCATCTGGAGCTTCTGGGTGCCCAGACATGCTTTTGTGGGCTCTGCAATCTTGGGGTTCACAGCCACTCACCCCTGGCTTTTCCTGGCACCTTTCAACAGCAGGATATGGTAGCCTGGGCTTACATACGCCAAAGATGCTTCTGTGTCTCCATCAGTTGACCCTACAGGCCATGGATGATAGCCCCTTGGAGCTGGCAGGCTTGAGTCTGTATTCCCACGCTCAGCCAGGGAACCCTGGGCCTGGCCCTGCATCCCCTAAGTCACAGCTCCCCTCCTATCACATGATTCCTTCCCAATGTTGGTGAGATGTCCCGTGCTCTCGAGCCTTCTTTGTTTCCAGTCTGGACCCTGGGCCCATGGGCAGCTCAGGAACCAAGGAGGATGAGCCAGGGAGGACTCCCTCCCTTGCCAGCCAAGTTTCTCTTAGTAGCAAATCCCTGTGGATCCAGGGCTGTCTCCAACCCCTTTTCCATATGTGAGGATGCTGGGAAGAGTCGTTTCTCTGTCAAGCAGCCAGGACCCTGGGGTTCGAGGCCCCAGCGCGGCCTGCGGGAGGTGACTTCCTGGGCCTGCAGGAGGCGTCCCCCAGGACTCTGTCTGGGCATGGGTTAGTGTCCCAAGAGGGCTGACATGTGCCCTCCTGCCCTGCAGATCCCGTGCCAGCTCTGGACCTAGGGCAACAGCTACAGCTCAAAGTACAACGCCTGCATGACATCGAGACAGAGAACCAGAAACTTCGGGAAACACTTGAAGAGTACAACAAGGAATTTGCTGGAGTCAAGAACCAAGGTTGGTGGACCCTGTGCGCCTCACCCAGCCCCTGGCTCTTGCTTTCTTTCTTTCTTTAATTGCCTTTCCCATTCTGTTGGGACTAGCTCTTAATTGTCAGCCACGTCATGAACCTGGGTGGGGTGAGAGGCAGAGTTGTTAAAGAGAGATAATGATAATGCTGAGCACTGAGAAGTCAAACTTTTGCCTCCACACAATAGTTACATGGGATTTTATTGCCCTCCGTGGAGGCTGATCAGGATTCTTTGAAAATCCCTCCTGGACTGTCACGTGGTTGAGTCTGCCTCTTAAAAGGCTGGTGTGTTGCCTGCGGGCGACACCTGTCAGGGAGCCAGCCCCTGATCAAAGGGTCACACACACACACAGAGTCATTCAATAATTGCTGCGGATCCATTAAGGCCCAGACTAGACGCATCCTCCTTCCCAGCCGGCTTCACCTACTCATTAGGGAATCTCATGAAAGCACGCAGCCTGTCTTCTCCCGGCAGAGAGGGCAAAGGTGGCCTGGCTCATCCCCTCACACTGCACCAAAGGCCATGTCTCCAGAACCCCCGGGCTACCCAGCTCCTTTGTCCAGGGGAAAGCTTGCGGTCGATCTGACTGCCCTTGAGCCTAGCCTGGGTGTTCTCCTTGGAGACCTGTGGGCAGGAGGCCAGTGGAGGGCGTGGCACTGGCTGGCTCGCTCCTCCCTAGGCTTCCTTTTAACCTGCTCGGAGAACAGATGAGAAACAGCAGGAAACGCCCTACAACATTAAGGGGCTGCCCATGGAAGGATCCAGAAAGAGGAGGAAGATGTAGAAAGAGCCAGCCCAGGTGCAGAGTTGCTGTGGTCTAGCCCCCAGCCAGCAGGGGTGTGCAAGGAGGATGGGGAGATGGCCAGTGCACTGCCAGGGACTCAAAGGACAGCTCTGTCCTGCTGAGTGCTGGGTTCAAGCTGGTATTCTTCTATACCTTCTCTCCCTGGAGAGAAGGTCTTCAGAAAGAGCCCAGCAGCGACAGTCCAGGCACCTAGCAGGTTGTCTGAGAGGGAGCCACGTCTGCTCTGCATTTTCTGTAGTTGGAGGTCCGTGGGGGAGGCCATGGGCTACATGTGCCTCTTTCCCTTCACCCTGCGTGCCCCGCTTCCATTGCTGGAGCCCCACTGGTCCTGGCCAGCGAGCATGTGTGGGACAATCTCTCTCAGAGGCCTCTTGGGGGTTTTATGCAACAAAACCTACAGCAAGACCTAGGAAAAGAAGCCCTAGAAGACCCCTCCTCCCCCAGCAAATACATCATTTTGCCAGAAATTTTTCTTCCTTTAGGCCTTCCAGGCCTCCAGGCTCCTGTGTGGGAAGGGCAGTAGACGTGGCTTATTTTCAACATGGCAGTAGTGCAGGTGGTTAAGAAGGTAGAGCAGAGAGTTTCTTCCACATTGTGGGCTGTGGACCTCATAATGATGGGTTTGGGGTATACCTAGCAAGTGCCTTATCCTTTCTGCCACCTCCTGCATGTGGCAGGGAACATGGGAGGCCGATGTGACCCCATCTGCTGAGATGTCCCAGAAGGAACAAAGTATGGATGTGGCATTGAGGGGCCCGAGTGCTGTGGAGACAAGCGTCCACACAGGCACCTGGGCCAGGGCCTCGGAAGAGCGCTGCTAGCGCCATTGTCTGACATGGTCCTGTCCAAGGATGGCATCCCGGAGCCTCACACCGCCCACCCACAGTCTGGGTGTCCCCACACCTGCTTCCAAGGCCCGGCAGGGCTGTTGGTTTTAACTCTGCCTTCTCACCCGAGAACCCTCAAATTCCACCCAATGGGAAAGGCCAATTGCTTTGCTTAACGAAGCCCTGAGCTTAATCGCCACACTGCGTGGGCTCTGGGTCTCCTGCTCCTGCCCAGACCCACAAATGTTGGTGGGAGTGCACAGGGTGGCCCTCAGGTCCAAGACCATAGCTCTGCCAGCTGCCCAGCCCCCACCCCAGCTCCCCTGAGTCCCCACTGGCTCATAGCCAGGCCAGACACCGCTCAGCCCTGGGTCCTGTGCAGGTCCCAGTGGGGCCCCACTCCCCTCGCTGCACCTACTCGGGTGATCTCAGTTGGAGGAACTAGCGGCTGGAGCGGAAGTGCCGTGGTTGGGGGCGTGGCTCCCTCCTAGGGCCCTTGGCCACCAGCATGGCAGGCTCGCTGCAGGCCCAGGTGGGTTCACTGCAGGCCCCAGTGCTCGGGCTGTGCTCCGGGCACTTCCAGGTCCAGGTCACCCACCCACACCCAGCAGAGTCCCTAGCCAGGGCCTGGGTCCCCTAGCACTCAATCCTCAGGGTGGATCCCCAGCCAGAAGGAGGTGACACTTGAATCACTCAATGCCCACATTTTCCTCCCTGCATGGCGAGGTCCAGAGACAGTTGATTCCACTCCAAAAACTGCTTATCCACAGTGAATCGCCCTCCTTCCTTCCCAGCAGTGTCCTGAGTGCTGCCCAGGCTCCATCTGGCATGGGTGGGGGGAAGTGGGAGGCTCCACGGATGCAGATCCACAGACACTGCCCTTGGAGCAGCTCAAGTTAAAGCACACGCCCGTCCCCTAGGTTGGGATCTGGTTCCTCCCAGGGTAGAGCCGCCCACCTGACTGTCCTCCCTCCCTTCCTGCGCAGAGGTGACCATCAAAGCGCTGAGGGAAAAGATCCGAGAGTACGAGCAGACAGTGAGGAGTCAGGCAGAGACCATCGCACTTGAGCGCGGGCAGAAGCTGCAGGATGACTTCGCTGAGAGGGAGAGGTGAGCGCAGCGCGGCCACCAGCATGCCCCCTCCCAGCTGTGGACAGGCCCAGTGGCCGACGCCCTTGGCCTCCATTTGGGAGCCGCCCCCAGCTTGAGAGCTGAAGCACCTTTTGATATTCAGCATCATGCATGCATGCACGCACGCATGCACAGAACATGGTGATTTAATTTACTATTATCTCTTTCCATTCCTACAGGGCTTCCTAAATCCAGGAGTCACATGATCAGAAAACCTGACATGCTCCCACATGCAGGCTCCCCCAACCCCCAGTATGGGGGTTTGAACTCGGAGCCTCAGTCTTGCTGAGCTGGTGCTCTTTCACATGAGTCACGCCACCAGCACTTTTTACTTTAGATTATATTTTAGATGGGGGGGTCTCACCTTTGCTTCATCTGGGCTGGGACTACAGTCTCCTACCAGTGCCTCCCACATAGCTGGACTTACAGATATGTGCCATCGTGCCCAGCTTCTTGGTTGGGATGTTAAACCTTGATCCCCGCAGTGTCCACTTCCTGAGTAGCTAGGATTTCAGGCATGTACTGCCATGCCCAGCTTCTGTGCTCAGTGGAAGAGCCTGTGTTCACCATGGGTGAAGCCTCCCTGGCTGCACTCCCCAGCAAATATTCCAAAATTCAGCCTTGTTACGTCCTCAAGCATTTCCGATGACAGATACTCTTACCGTAAACACTGTAACCATTCCATCTAGCTGATATGTAGTCTAGATTTCTAACGATTTGCTTTATCCAGAACTCTCCATTTTCCACTAATATGATAACTTCATGAAAGTTAGATTTCTTACAGAACTATAAGGAGATTGCCAACTCCGGCAATATATGTCAGGTTTCTAAACCCTTTGGCTATTTGGGTGGTATATGCCTGTAATCCCTGCAGTCAGGAAGCTTGGGCAGTAGGATCTCAAGTTTGTGGCTACCCTGGGCTCCATCACAAGTTCCAGGTTAACTTGGGCATAGCAAGACCCAGTCTCCCAAAACAAATCAAAACCAAAAAGCCCTTTTGTTAAATTAAGATGAAGACGTGCATGTAGCCGCTGCCAGGAGGCCCTGGCTTTGCAGTCCCTCCGACGGGGCCCTGGGTGTCGTGGAATGTCGAGGTATCCTGTGTCCCTTATGGACACCTGTGGGATGGGCTCTGCAGACCCGGATGTCAGGGCAGGAGGGGCAACTCAATGATGAAGAACATGCCTGCCGCTTCAGGGAGGCCCTGTGCTCGCACACCAAAGCTGGCCTTGCTCACAGAGGAGGAGGATGGCTGCTTCCTCTCCCTGGGACCATACAGCACCAGGCCTGGGCCAGCCAGCACCCAGGACACATCATTTCACAGTGGGAGAAGCCGTCATTTCACAGATCCCCAAAGGCAGGACTGTGAGGCTCCATAGCTAGCCTCCCAGCAGCACGAATGTGGCCTCCCACCAACTTTACTGCAGGACTGAGTGGGCATGGGTGCTACCTGTACCCCCTTCCTCCTGCTGGAAGAGTGAGGAAGGTGCAGCCACAGGGCTCCTAAAGGCCAGCAGAGCCCTGACCTTACTGCCGTGGAAGCCGTCCTAAAGCCAGCACTTGGAACTCATTGTTCTCTCTCCCTGTAATTGATCATGGGAAGAAATGCAAACCATCTAAACACCCCAAAATGAGAACTGTGCAAGTGAGAAATAGGCCAGCCCTACCTTGAACATTATGTAGCCAGGAAAATACTAACTGGAATTCACAGAACTCGGAGAAAGCAACCCAGCGTAGTGGGAGTAGAAGGCCACAGTACAAAGTTCTGCATCTGCCTGGGCACCAGGTACTTCAAAGTGTGCAAGCTGGATAAAAGGATTCATTCTGCTAAAAGATATAAATACCCAGATGCCAGGGGCTCACCTTTGTAATCCTAGCTACTCAGGAGGCTGGGACCTAAGGATCATGGCTTGAAGCCAGCCTAGGCAGAAAAGTCTGTGAAACTCTTTATCTCCAATGAACCAGCAAAAAGCCAGAAGTAAAGCTCTGGTTCAAGAGGTAGAGCACCAACCATAAGTGAAAAAGCTTAAGGAACAGCAGCTGAGGCTGAGTTCAAAGCCCCAGTACCAGAACCAAAAAAGAAAAGAAAAAGATGATATACATGACTGGTTGATTATTGAAGAAATGATAAAGCTAGATATTTATTACCCTTCTTTAGACACCCTCCCCCCAAAAAGAAAAAGAGTGGGACCTAGGGTTTAAAGTTTAAAAAAAACCTTGAATGCATCCAATGAGAGGATTCAGGCACAACATGAGGTGTGGAATGATGAGGCTTTTCCTGGGAAAGGAGCCATGAGGCCTGGGTCCGGGACGATGCCAGTCACTTCCATCCATCTGCAGCCACTCCAAGGTGCAGACAGAAGCGGTAGGGCCAGGGACAAAGGTGTGCAGAGGGTGAGTTCCGGCCACAGGTGTGTCCTGGCAGTGGATCTTGGGTCCGGCCCCCTGGGCTTTCCTGTCTTGATGGGAGAGTCTGGTTCCCCAGGCTGACTCCCAGCTCCTGGGCGCTGCCTGGTTATTACTGGTAATTATACCCATCCGGGTGATCTATCCTGCCAGCTCCACTGTTCCAGGGCTGGGGGCCAGGCCCTTGTCATAAAGATGCCCCGGCCTGTCCTGCCTCTCCCGGAGCCAGACCGGGCACTCTCCAGGCTGCTGACTGCCACAGGTGGTAGGCAGCCATGACCACATTGACCTTCTCCCCTTCTGTTCCAGAAAGCTGCAGGAGACCCAGCTGTCCACCTCCTCGAAGCTGGAGGAAGCAGAGCACAAGCTGCATACCCTGCAAACAGGTGGGGCACTCGGTCCTGGTGAGGTCAGATGGGTGAGCCATGGGGGACAGCATGCTGCACCCCTGCCCTCTGCCGCCCGCTGCCCCTCAGATGCCCCCATGCTCCAGGCCGCTCGCTTGACTTCTCAGTCACCGAGCTGAGTTGCTGAGTGTGGAGGTGGGAGCCCCCCCCCATGGAGGTGGGAGGGCCCCCCCAACCCGCTTCCTGCTCTTCTCTCCAACAAACAGGGCTGCGTCACACACTGTCAAGGGCTGACATTTCATTTGGAACAATAATAAGAAGGGGGAAAAAAACTTCTACCCTAAGCGAAGTTAAGGAGAGCACTAAATAGCAGAACCTTTTACAGTTTAAAAGATACCAAAAAAGGGGTGCTTGGTTGGCACTCTAAACTGCATGCGGGAGGGAGAGGGTTCTTCCCCCTTTTTTTTTTTTCCTGGAAAGGAAGCAGCACTGTTATCTGTTTCAATAAAACATTAGAAGATATCATCCAAGTTCCAACACATGGAAGGGGTAGAAAAAAATCAACAAGCACGTTCACAGCAAAACCAACAATATTCCAAAAAATCTAATCACCAGGCTAGCGCTGCAGCTCAGTGATAGAGCACACATGAGACTCTGGGATCCATCCCCGCCCCATGCACACTTGCATACGCATGCTCACCACCACTGACACATTCACACACAGGCCATCGACAGACCCGTGAGAGCAGGGCCCCGTGGCCTGGCCAAGGGTCAGAGCACCTGAGTTCACAGAAGAAAAGTCAACAGCTAACGTTCACACACTCACGGTTCTGACACTCAGGGAGACGCAGGGTAAGATTGTTTTGCCTAGTGGCCTGTCAGAGGTTTGGAGTTGGCTTCACTTTGTTTGAATGTCGATGCCTATGTGTGGGTGCCTGCTGCCCAGGCAGCTTCCTGGCAGGCCGTGAGCAGGTGGATGAAGTGGGGGCTCAGCCCCAGGGCTTGGTCTTTGAGTGTCCCAAATGCAGACTGGTCGGACAATTCACTGCCCGTGTGCTGAGCTAGGGTGGGGTCCAGCCATGGAGCAAACAGCCCCACCCCACTTAAACGGGGAGAAAGCTGGAGAGAAGCTCTAGCTGCTATTGTCTGCTCTCATGGCTTCTGTCCCTGTCCTTAAGCCCTGGAAAAAGACCAGAATTATTCAACCTGGTGATCTTTTATTTATTTTAGTTTTTAGTTTTGTCAGTCATGGGGCTTGAACTCTGGGCCTGGGCACTGTCCCTCAGCTCTTCAGCTCAAGGCTAGCGCTCTACCACTTGAGCCACAGCACTACTTCTGGCTTTTTCTGCTTATGTGGTGCTGAGGAATCGAACCCAGGGCCTCATGCAAGGCAAGCACTCTACCACTGAACACCCCCCCCCCTTTTTTAATATGTGAAGTATGTATGTCTCTCCACATACATACATGCAGCCAGACACTGGTAGTACCATCGGGCTATGTAGCTGTGGCATGGCTGTACATGGTGAACTCCAGTCAGTTCACAGCCTCTTTTTTTTTTTCCACCTCCCTTGAAAACACAGGGTCTTACTGTATCGCCCAGGCTGGCCACCACATACAATCTTCCTATCTCCGTATGAGGGTTGAGACTACAGGCATGCACTACCACACTTGACTGTTGCTACATCCAACAGATATAAATGCTACTAGCTGATGAGGCTGCTGCTGGCATCACATGGCACAGGGTTTTACAGTCAGCTTGTTTCTTTAGTAAGAAGGAGTCATTCTAAAGTAGGACTAAGGAAATTGTATGGTAAAAACAAGAAGCAGTAGCATATTGGCCTGGCCTTGAGTTGTACACTGCATAGACTACACCTCTACACACCTGCCACTTGGCAGGTTTGTTTACATCTGTACTGGTGCTACTCAAAGAGGACACATTACTGAGCCATAGGAATTTTCCAGCCCTGTCACAGTCTCTAGGTTGTCAGTGACAAAAACATACAGGGCCAGGAGTCAGTGGCTCATGCCTGTCATCCTACTTACTCACAAGGCTGAGATTTGGATTGAGGTTGGAAGCCAGCCTGGGCAGAAGTGTCTATAAGACTCTTCTCTCCAGTGAACCACTAAAAAGCCCAAAGTAGAGCCACGCTCCACATGGTAGACAACTAGCTTTGAGAAAAAAAAAAAAAAAAAAAAAGGGTCAGGGATAGGTCCCTGAGTTCAAGCCCCAGGGACTAACAAAAAACAAAACAAAACAAAAACATGAGGCAGGGGATGAAAGTATATATGTAAAGGAGTCCAGAAATCATTTTCAGTGATGCAGTTATTTAGAAGCAGCAGAGCTGTGCAGTAAGTGTGCACCGCTCTCTCACAAAAGGGTGTCTGTCCTATCCTTTGGAGCCAAAACATACTGAGCGCTTTTCCTTTAGCCAGCGAACAACGTTGTGATTTTCGGTCCTTGTCTTCTAGCCCTGGAAAAAACTCGAACGGAATTGTTTGACCTGAAAACCAAATATGATGAAGAAAGCACTGCAAAGTAAGTCCACATGCCATGCTCTTCTATCTGTGGCCTGTCCTCTGCCCATCTGGGTTTGCCTAGCTGGCTCTAGCATTTGCTAATCCCTGCAATAGCAGCCTGGCAGGTTCCTTCTAGAACCTGTGTGGCCACAAGCTCTGGCACACCGGATGGCCCCGTGCATTGGCAATCCCATCCTCAGTTATAGTGAGGCCTTTCTCTTTCTCTTGGGAATTATGGGGAAGAGTCAGCACATGAGAGATGGGGCTCAAGCAAGGTTTCCTCTGGGAGCTTGGCGTGGCAGATCCTGGCCAGAGTCCTTTACCTACCCTCAGGGTCATTGGGAAGATCAGGTGTCTTAGGTCCTGCCCCGCCTCAGCACCATGCAGTGTGGAGATGCACACATTTGAGCTGCAGGGCACCAGAAAGGAGGAAGTAAGAGTCGTTCCACCAGGGCCCAGGCAGGTGCTGCCACCCTAAAGCCTGAGCCCCATTTCCAGGTTCTAAAGGATCTTGTCCTCCACAGATGTGGGCAATGTGCCCGCCAGTAGCAAGCTTTCCAGTCACTTCTGTGTGGCCCCAGGCTCTGGTGTGCACAGCACCCCTCTCCCAACCACTCTTGCCCCTTGGGCTTACTGGGGAGGTGTGAGCTTCCCCTGAGGACACTGCCAGGCAGCCTCAGCCCTTCTCTGGGTTGGTGCCCTCCCACCTGGCCCTGCGGTCACCTTGTGTATCCTCACAGTCATCCATCGTTTCCCTGTGGCCTCTGTGTGCTGTCTGCCTTGCTGGCCTAAAGTGTGCTGGAGAGCAGACCTCTGACCCTCACTTCCTATGCTGAGACGGGACGTGGTGGCACAGAGTGAGGTAGGCCAGAGAGGCGATAGTTCAAATTTCCGAAATCCCTTGGCGCTGGCATCAGCGGCTTCCCTCCAGGGACAGTGCAGTCTGAGAAGAGGCCACATGGCCTGGGGGGAACGCGTGCTCCCGCTTCTCCTCACAGCCCACAGCCTGGGCCCTCCCCACTAGCTGAGAGATGCCAGGAGCCACCCCACCCGCCGCCCTTTTCTGACACCTAGCATGGCTCTTCAGCTGTTTCAAACAATCCAGTCAATGGTTTTACTCAGTGCATGTGATCTTTTAGTGACGTTATTTCAGTCTGATGCATTCAGTGTCATCAATCCTTTGTTAGTACTAATACTTTTCTAAAATGGTTTCATTGAGAGAGGACAGTGTGCTGCTTAACATCTTGGTCCCCTTGCTCTTCCCATCGGCAGACTGACTGATGTAATGCCAGCGACTGATGACGAAATGCCAGCGACTCTGTGATACATTCAATTATATCACCACTTTCTTTCTTAGTAAGCCATGCCACTTTCTGAACACCATCATAGTAAATTGTAGGTGTCTGTCACAGTGTGTCTGTAGTCGGCCAGAATTTGCTTTATTTTTCTATTCTGATTTTTATTGCTGTGACAAAATGTCTGACTAAAATGATTTAAAGGAGGAAGGGCTGACCTTAGCTCACAGTTTCAGTCCATAGCTGCTTGGCCCCCTTGCTGTGGGCCAGCCACGAGTTGGAGCATTATGGCAGGAGGGTATGGAGCCAGGAAATAGGCGGGAAAAGAAGGGGCGGGACAAGATGCCCTTCAGATCCCCGCCCCAGTGACCCACTTTCTCTAACCAGGCCTCACCTTGTAATAGCAGCCCATTCAGTATGATCTCCACATTGGATTAACATAGGGATAAGTTGATGCCCTCCTGATGCAGTCAGCTGACTTCAAACCACCAGCCAAGGACCAAGCCTTCAGAAGGAATTTTTTGGGGACCCTTTACCCTCAAACTCTATTGCATTCATGAGTATGCTTCTGTGTGTCCCATCCAGGTCCTCAGCCATCGGCCCACATGGACAGCCTTGTACGGCCTGCAGCTGATGCTATCAATATCATGATGGCCTTTGGCAGAAAAAAAGATTCCCATTTGAGAAAGAGCTCTGGTGGCAGATGTAGTGGTCCCGGCAGCTAGGGCTGGCAGGGCTGTGCCACACACCTGGGCTCGAACAGGCAGAGCAGGGAGGAGGGGCTAGAACCCAGAAGGAAAGGGAGGAGCACTCACCTCACACTTCGCCTACCTCACGCCCAGGCCACAGAGTTCAAGGCCAGACGGGGCCATAACTGGTAACCCTGACTCAGAAAGGAAGAAAGGAAGGAAGGGAGAAAGGGAGGGAAGGAGGGAAAGGAACAGAACACACTAAGCACTCACTATACACCCCTCTCTCATTGGCTGGCAAGCAGATCAGCTGACGATCGGCATCCAGTGCCACCAGCATGCATGTGACAGGGCTGACATTTTCACGTGTCCTGTGAACCGCAGCGCTCGGGGCTGGCCTTGCCCTGAGTGTCATGAGACAGCTCAGAGCACAAGCTGCTCTCTGCAGAAGGGTAGCTTCACCGTGTGTGGGAAGGGGACTGGGGCCCATGTGGGGGTGGCGGCCCTGGGAGCGAATCCTTCCCTCTGTCCATCCATCTGTCCACCCATCGGTCACATGCCGGGTCTGTCCCTGGCATCCACCCCTCATCATCTGCCTGCACAGTGGATTTGAGCATGGTGGGCTCCAGTGTCTGTGGGGAGTTACAAGACAAGTGCATCCAGCACCATGTGAATTGGCCCGAGTGCCATCACCTCCCCTGTGGACACTCTGCCTGCCTGTCCCCTGCTCAGGGCAGCAGGCGAGGCATGGCTGCAGGGCGGTCGATGGTCACGTCAGCTGGGTGCCCACGTCAGCTGGGCCAGCAGGGCTGGCCGTGACAGGGGCAGCGGGAAAGTTTTCCGTGTGTAGGCTTGAAGCGAGATGTAATTAGGCTTTATGCGCAGAACAAGGCCTCATTGATGAGCACAGCTGCTCTTTGTTTCCTCCTGTCCCCGCGAGTGGGAGGTAAAAGTGTTCTTCATGTTTATTAATGTGAGATTCCTTAGACAAATGGCAAACCGTTTTAATATCTGCCGGAACATGGGGGACTTGCCAAAACAGTTGTTGTGCAAGCGGATCGCAGGCTTGCACACAAGCACCGTTGCTGGCTCAAACGAATGAATGATTTCTGTCTCCTTCTGTGCTCCTTAGTGGAGACTTACCCCCTCCCCCGAGAGTCACCCCATGTCCGGGTCTCCCCATGTGTCCCTCCTGGCACATGGAGGTAGGGCCTTAGCTGGGAGTCCTAGGCAACTCCCTGGGGTGGCAACTTCCTGCACCGAGCTGTTGCTGCCACCCCAAGAGGGGCCTGGACAGCCCGCCTTCCCATCCTGCAGCTGTCTGCCATCCCATAGCCCCACCTACAGTCACACACACCAGGAATGCCACCCCAAGTGATGTGGGCTCTGGGCCCATAGGAAGGGCTCCATGGTGACGTAGTCCCTGGCCGCCTCTTCACTCTGTCCCCACAGCTGGGGGGCCAGGAGCCCCTGTCACACGTGTGGACACGTGGGCTGGAGCGCTGAGCCCTGATGAAAGGAAATATTGAGTGGTGCTGAAACGCCCCATTTTTCTATAGCTAATGTTAGTCTTAGGGACTCTGCACCGCCCCAGCCTCCCCCAGCAGATGGCGTATTTCTTAGGAGGACTGTGTTTGTAAGGGATGACGTGACATGAGGCACAATTAGGGGGCTCATGGGTGGCATCCAAGAGGCACCGTAGGGACCTGAGCCAGAGGGGAACTCACACTCCACATCCCAGCAGAGGACAAGATATGGAGGCCAAGGGCTGGGAAGGTGGCTTAGTGGAAGAGTGCCTGCCTAGCATGCATGGAGCCCTGGATTTGATTCCTCAGTACCACATATGCAGAACAAAACAGAAGTGGCACTGTGGCTCACATGGTAAAGTGCTAGCCTTGAGCAAAAGAAGCTCAAGCACAGTGCCCAGGCCTTGAGTTCAAGTCCCAAGACTTGGGATAAAAAATGCAGAGGCCAGTAGCTGAGACACAGCCGGTGCCGTGGGAAGTCCAGCCAGCACGCTGAGGGTGCTCAGGGCTGTGTCACATGGACGCTTGCACGTTTATACCTTCTCTCCTTGAGGCAGCCATTGAGGAAGCACCTACTGTGCCCCAGGCATGCAGAAGAACATCCCAGGAACAATCTGTCAGAGCCCAAACCTCCCAGCCCAGTATACAGAGCCCCTCAGCAATGTTCTCAGCCCTCCCTGGGCTGGGGTTGCAGCTCGGTATAAAAAAAGATAAATAAAGTTAAGTTTTGCCGGGTGCCAGTAGCTCACACCTGTAATCCTAGCTACTCAGAAGGCTGAGATCTGAGGATCACAGTTCAAAGCCGCCCAGGCAGCAAAGTCCATGAGACTCTTATCTCCAATAAACCACCAGAAAACTGGAAGTAGCGCTGTGGCTGAAGTGGTAGAGCGCTAGCCTTGAGCTGAAGAGCTGAGGAACAGTGCCCAGGCCCACAATTCAAGCCCCATGACAAACAAAAAAAAAAAAACTCAAGTTTTTCTCAGAGCTGCACTGCCTGCACGAGGTGGCCCTGAAGGGCTTTTTTTTTTCCCTTTTCTTTCTTTCTTTCATTTTTTTTTTTTTTTCTGGATCCAGTACTTAATAAATTCAAGGCCTCTTAATCTCACTCAGCTTCCTTGCTTATGGCTGGTACTGTACCACTTGAACCATGCCTCTAGTTCCACATTTTGCTGGTTGGTTGGAAGTAAAGAGTCTCAAAGACTTTTTTCCCTCCCAGTCTCAGCCTCCTGAGCAGCTGGGATTACAGGCCTGAGCACAAGTGCCCTGCTGACTCAGTCTGTTTCTGCCCCATAGAGCCCCACTGCAGAGGGGTCTTTCTTTACAGTCTTCATAATTCACAGGAAGGCCAATAGAAACTGGGCAAGATCCAGCCAAGCTGACCAAGCCCAAGTGTCGCAGTCATCTCAGTCGGGCAATTAGACAAGCATTGCTTCCCCAGCTGAAGTGTCCCGGCACGCAGGCTCCCTCCTGTCCCTTTAAGAATGTGACATATCCTGTGTCCCTTTTTGA